CAAATTTTCTATATTTGGATTAGTGTCTGAACGAACTTTATCGTTTTCCGTAGTATCTTAGAAGCTGAACACGAATCCGTTTTTCGAAGTTATCATGTCACTGTATTTTGAGAAAAATACCATCAAAGAGACAAAAAAAAAATGATTTTGAGGATTTCATGAGGTTATAATATTGATAAATTTTTTTTTAATTTTATTAATGCTATCAGAATAACGAAAGTATAATAATGTTAAGTATAAAGTATAAATGAATAATGAAAGTATTAACTTTTAATTTTAAAAATTGTTTTATTTTGATATTATTTTCCGAGTTATAATAATTTGAAAATAGCTCTTTTCTCATATAATACATGAAAAAGATATTCCATCTTAATTCTGCATTATGTAAAAAGTGTTATTGTACTTATATAATATTCTTGTGCACATAATTGGATCATACTAATTAAAAAAACAATGTGAAAATAACAAAAAAAATATAATATAAATATATTTTCAACTGCTATACATATCTTGAATACGAAAAATTATATCAAAATAAAATGACAACATTTTAAAACTAAAAAAGTTGATATTTTTGAACACATTTACATTAAAAATTTTGAAAAAAAATTGTTGCTAGTACTACGTCATGAAAACTCTCAAAATAATTTTTTGCTATTTTCCTCAAAAGTGTGATAACCAAATTAGGAAAACAAATTCGTATTAAGTAGGCAAAGATATATTAGAAATAATTTAAAATTGTTAAGTTTTTTTCGTAGACTTTAATATAATTAGTATAATTAGTATGGAATCTTTTATTAATGCGCAATTAATACTCTATTAGTCTGTATGAGGAAAATTGCCTAAAAGAAGAAATACACAGGCAAATTTTCTTGGCGATGACATAGCAGAAATAGACGCGATGCGACCATCACTTGAATCAGGTTAATGACCGCAGTGAGATGATTTATAATAATTAAGCAGTCGTGCATTCATGGTACTAGAAGATAATTTTTCAGTACTTCAACTATAATAGATTAAGTAAAGTAATAATTTCTAATATCATTTTTTTTAGTTTTCATTAAAACGTTAAAATCCCTAAAGATGTGACCTAAATTGCACGAAAATAACGACTACGAAGTGATTCATCACTACCGCTTTTCATCCAAATGACAAGTCGTTTGATGAATTTGAAATTCATTTTTTATAAAACCGATCTCCATTTGGAAGTAATCACTTGTAATTCATTGTAATCTTTTAATATTATAGGTAAGACTATTATAACATAGATAACAGAGTAATATAAAATTTTAGTTAAGGACGAAAATAAATTATAGATTCTGTGTTAATATCTTTTTAAACTCTAAATTATATTTACAAAGAATCCCTATAGTTATTCTTATTTAAACGATATACAAAGTAGATTGGCCCTTAAGATTTTATCATTAAATGCACCGTTTATCAGGAAGAAATAGCATAAGTTTCTTTGAGAACGCTCCCAGGTTCTGATTGATTTAATCGGCGCGTATTTAATTTTCTTTATTCGAATCTTGAATACTCGTTTTCTCAGCAAAGCTTTAAAGAATCAGTAAGACGACTTACGATGTCGAAACTGGAATTTAGAGTTTGGATATAGACTGAAATAAAATAGGATTATTGGATTCGAAGTTTGGTTAAAGATTTTAGAGGATTCTTACCGATGCAAAATAAGAATTGCATTCAATTGGGACTTTTTTGAAAAATATCTATTTTATTTTTGTTTCATGATTTCTATATGTAAGGAATAAGAATGTATATATATATATATATATATGAG